CCCCATTGCCTTATCCAGCATAGCCCAGGAATTTCACTGCCCATTGCCTTATCCAGCATAGCCCTAGGAATTTCACTGCCCATTGCCTTATCCAGCATAGCCCTAGGAATTTCACTGCCCATTGCCTTATCCAGCATAGCCCTAGGAATTTCACTGCCCATTGCCTTATCCAGCATAGCCCTAGGAATTTCACTGCGCATTGCCTTATCCAGCATAGCCCTAGGGAATTTCACTGCCCATTGCCTTATCCAGCATAGCCCTAGGAATTTCACTGCCCATTGCCTTATCCAGCATAGCCCCAGGAATTTCACTGCCCATTGCCTTATCCAGCATAGCCCTAGGAATTTCACTGCCCATTGCCTTATCCAGCATAGCCCTAGGAATTTCACTGCCCATGGCCTTATCCAGCATAGCCCTAGGAATTTCACTGCACATTGCTCTATCCAGCATAGCCCCAGGAATTTCACTGCTCATTGCCTTATCCAGCATAGCCCCAGGAATATCACTGCCCATTGCCTTATCCAGCATAGCCCCAGGAATTTCACTGCCCATTGCCTTATCCAGCATAGCCCCAGGAATTTCACTGCCCATTGCCTTATCCAGCATAGCCCCAGAAATTTCACTGCCCATTGCCTTATCCAGCATAGCCCCAGGAATTTCACTGCCCATTGCCTTATCCAGCATAGCCCCAGGAATTTCACTGCCCATTGCCTTATCCAGCATAGCCCTAGGAATTTCACTGCTCATTGCCTTATCCAGCATAGCCCCAGGAATTTCACTGCCCATTGCCTTATCCAGCATAGCCCTAGGAATTTCACTGCCCATTGCCTTATCCAGCATAGCCCTAGGAATTTCACTGCCCATTGCCTTATCCAGCATAGCCCTAGGAATTTCACTGCCCATTGCCTTATCCAGCATAGCCCTAGGAATTTCACTTGCCTTATCCATTGCCTTATCCAGCATAGCCCCAGGAATTTCACTGCCCATTGCCTTATCCAGCATAGCCCCAGGAATTTCACTGCCCATTGCCTTATCCAGCATAGCCCCAGGAATTTCACTGCCCATTGCCTTATCCAGCATAGCCCCAGGAATTTCACTGCCCATTGCCTTATCCAGCATAGCCCCAGGAATTTCACTGCCCATTGCCTTATCCAGCATAGCCCTAGGAATTTCACTGCCCATTGCCTTATCCAGCATAGCCCCAGGAATTTCACTGCCCATTGCCTTATCCAGCATAGCCCCAGGAATTTCACCCATTGCCTTATCCAGCATAGCCCCAGGAATTTCACTGCCCATTGCCTTATCCAGCATAGCCCCTAGGAATTTCACTGCCCATTGCCTTATCCAGCATAGCCCCAGGAATTTCACTGCCCATTGCCTTATCCAGCATAGCCCACTAGGAATTATCCAGCATAGCCCCATTGCCCATTATCCAGCATAGCCCCAGGAATTTCACTGCCCATTGCCTTATCCAGCATAGCCAGGAATTTCACTGCCCATTGCCTTATCCAGCATAGCCCCAGGAATTTCACTGCCCATTGCCTTATCCAGCATAGCCCCAGGAATTTCACTGCCCATTGCCTTATCCAGCATAGCCCCAGGAATTTCACTGCCCATTGCCTTATCCAGCATAGCCCCAGGAATTTCACTGCCCATTGCCTTATCCAGCATAGCCCCAGGAATTTCACAGCCCATTGCCTTATCCAGCATAGCCCATTTCACCCCATTGCCTTATCCAGCATAGCCCCAGGAATTTCACTGCCCACTGCCCATTTCACTGCCTTATCCAGCATAGCCCCAGGAATTTCACTGCCCATTGCCTTATCCAGCATAGCCCTAGGAATTTCACTGCCCATTGCCTTATCCAGCATAGCCCCAGGAATTTCACTGCCCATTGCCTTATCCAGCATAGCCCCAGGAATTTCACTGCCCATTGCCTTATCCAGCATAGGCCTAGGAATTTCACTGCCCATTGCCTTATCCAGCATAGCCCCAGGAATTTCACTGCCCATTGCCTTATCCAGCATAGCCTAGAATTTCACTCCCATTGCCTTATCCAGCATAGCCCCAGGAATTTCACTGCCCATTGCCTTATCCAGCATAGCCCTAGGAATTTCACTGCCCATTGCCTTATCCAGCATAGCCCCCTAGGAATTTCACTGCCCATTGCCTTATCCAGCATAGCCCTAGGAATTTCACTGCCCATTGCCTTATCCAGCATAGCCCTAGGAATTTCACTGCCCATTGCCTTATCCAGCATAGCCCCAGGAATTTCACTGCCCATTGCCTTATCCAGCATAGCCCCAGGAATTTCACTGCCCATTGCCTTATCCAGCATAGCCCTAGGAATTTCACTGCCCATTGCCTTATCCAGCATAGCCCTAGGAATTTCACTGCCCATTGCCTTATCCAGCATAGCCCTAGGAATTTCACTGCCCATTGCCTTATCCAGCATAGCCCCAGGAATTTCACTGCCCATTGCCTTATCCTGCATAGCCCCAGGAATTTCACTGCCCATTGCCTTATCCAGCATAGCCCTAGGAATTTCACTGCCCATTGCCTTATCCAGCATAGCCCCAGGAATTTCACTGCCCATTGCCTTATCCAGCATAGCCCTAGGAATTTCACTGCCCATTGCCTTATCCAGCATAGCCCTAGGAATTTCACTGCCCATTGCCTTATCCAGCATAGCCCTAGGAATTTCACTGCCCATTGCCTTATCCAGCATAGCCCTAGGAATTTCACTGCCCATTGCCTTATCCAGCATAGCCCTAGGAATTTCACTGCCCATTGCCTTATCCAGCATAGCCCTAGGGAAATTTCACTGCCCATTGCCTTATCCAGCATAGCCCCAGGAATTTCACTGCCCATTGCCTTATCCAGCATAGCCCTAGGAATTTCACTGCCCATTGCCTTATCCAGCATAGCCCTAGGAATTTCACTGCCCATTGCCTTATCCAGCATAGCCCCAGGAATTTCACTGCCCATTGCCTTATCCAGCATAGCCCTAGGAATTTCACTGCCCATTGCCTTATCCAGCATAGCCCTAGGAATTTCACTGCCCATTGCCTTATCCAGCATAGCCCTAGGAATTTCACTGCCCATTGCCTTATCCAGCATAGCCCTAGGAATTTCACTGCCCATTGCCTTATCCAGCATAGCCCTAGGAATTTCACTGCCCATTGCCTTATCCAGCATAGCCCTAGGAATTTCACTGCCCATTGCCTTATCCAGCATAGCCCTAGGGAATTTCACTGCCCATTGCCTTATCCAGCATAGCCCCAGGAATTTCACTGCCCATTGCCTTATCCAGCATAGCCCTAGGAATTTCACTGCCCATTGCCTTATCCAGCATAGCCCCCAGGAATTTCACTGCCCATTGCCTTATCCAGCATAGCCCCAGGAATTTCACTGCCCATTGCCTTATCCAGCATAGCCCCAGGAATTTCACTGCCCATTGCCTTATCCAGCATAGCCCCTAGGAATTTCACTGCCCATTGCCTTATCCAGCATAGCCCCAGGAATTTCACTGCCCATTGCCTTATCCAGCATAGCCCTAGGAATTTCACTGCCCATTGCCTTATCCAGCATAGCCCTAGAATTTCACTGCCCATTGCCTTATCCAGCATAGCCCTAGGAATTTCACTGCCCATTGCCTTATCCAGCATAGCCCCAGGAATTTCATCCCTTATCCAGCATAGCCCCAGGAATTTCACTGCCCATTGCCTTATCCAGCATAGCCCCAGGAATTTCACTGCCCATTGCCTTATCCAGCATAGCCCTAGGAATTTCACTGCCCATTGCCTTATCCAGCATAGCCCTAGGGAATTTCACTGCCCATTGCCTTATCCAGCATAGCCCCAGGAATTTCACTGCCCATTGCCTTATCCAGCATAGCCCCAGGAATTTCACTGTACATTGCCTTATCCACTATAGCCCCAGGAATTTCACTGCCCATTGCCTTATCCAGCATAGCCCCAGGAATTTCACTGCCCATTGCCTTATCCAGCATAGCCCTAGGAATTTCACTGCCCATTGCCTTATCCAGCATAGCCCTAGGAATTTCACTGCCCATTGCCTTATCCAGCATAGCCCTAGGAATTTCACTGCCCATGGCCTTATCCAGCATAGCCCTATGAATTTCACTGCCCATTGCCTTATCCAGCATAGCCCCAGGAATTTCACTGTACATTGCCTTATCCACTATAGCCCCAGGAATTTCACTGCCCATTGCCTTATCCAGCATAGCCCCAGGAATTTCACTGCCCATTGCCTTATCCAGCATAGCCCTAGGAATTTCACTGCCCATTGCCTTATCCAGCATAGCCCCAGGAATTTCACTGCCCATTGCCTTATCCAGCATAGCCCTATGAATTTCACTGCCCATGGCCTTATCCAGCATAGCCCTATGAATTTCACTGCCCATTGCCTTATCCAGCATAGCCCCAGGAATTTCACTGTACATTGCCTTATACACTATAGCCCCAGGAATTTCACTGCCCATTGCCTTATCCAGCATAGCCCTAGGAATTTCACTGCCCATTGCCTTATCCAGCATAGCCCCAGGAATTTCACTGCCCATTGCCTTATCCAGCATAGCCCTAGGAATTTCACTGCCCATTGCCTTATCCAGCATAGCCCTAGGAATTTCACTGCCCATTGCCTTATCCAGCATAGCCCCAGGAATTTCACTGTACATTGCCTTATCCACTATAGCCCCAGGAATTTCACTGCCCATTGCCTTATCCAGCATAGCCCCAGGAATTTCACTGCCCATTGCCTTATCCAGCATAGCCCTAGGAATTTCACTCGCTCATACAATTCTACACAGTAACCTTCTACCTTTATCTCGTATTTTCACGGTTATTCTCGCCATGCTTTTCTCAATTAAAATACGTCTTTATATACAAGTATTTTATATATAACCAACCAAATAAATGTTATTTATACAACAAAACAAGTAAAATATCTAGATTTTAAATCTTTTTTTGTCTCTCCAGGGCCGCGTCACCTTTTTGTTCAGTATTGAAAATTGGGACATGACTGAATTCCCTTTTCACGTCATCATGCGGTCCTATCTTTATTTACTTGAACGCCTCATGATCAGCGAAAAGTCGCAAATTACAGGCTGCGTCTTAATTGAAAATTTTCACAATTATTCTCTGAAGCAAGCACTTGGCTTACGTCCATCAGAACTTAGAATGTTTGTGGATATTCTGCAGGTAAGATCTTCTTCATTTCTTTTCTAAACAGTCGCTCCACATTATGCACTTATTTTATTGGATTTATTGTCCGCATCTTGTTTGTTATAGCTTTTGTGGCCTCCGATTAAACAGAACTGAGTATTGTATGAGAGGATCTTGGAAAGATCTTGTGTTTCTGGCTTCCAAATTCCACCTATGATGGCATGATAAAAATATGGTATTGTGGGTATAAAATTTGTGGGTAAATTTATACAGCCCTAATTCAGATTTACGTCACTCTAAAGTATCGTGGGATAACAGTTTGGAAGTTCTTATATGACATAACATGACGAAATATAATTTGATATAATTTTATATATCAAGGAACAGTATTGAGTAAATAGTATGACAAATTGGAAAAAAGTTTTTGTGATGTGTTTCATGCATTTGAATTTCATCGGATTGAGCCTGTTGACGTTGTCCTGACCACACATGCGAATGAACGAGAGCTGCTGGTAGTTTCAACATTTTTGAAAGAATATTTTTAAAATAACAAAAATAAGATTTAAAAAAATACTAGTAAAAGATGATAATAACGGCCAATGAAATTCAAACAACTTAAGATTATTCTTTCATACGCCGTGTCCTTTCAGGACGTGGGCGATTATGGCTCTCCACTTCCCCCTATCCCTTGTAACTCTCAATAAGTTTTGTCCTTTTGCTTCTTCTCCCAGACCCTTTGTCATCCACTTGCTTAATCCCGCTAGGTATGTCAGGCATTTCTTCCCCTTTTCTTCCCATTTCTTCCCTCTATCTGCCCTGTGAGTATCAGATTCTCCAAGCCCGCCTTTCTCATTACGTGTATCAGAATTTTCAGCTGCTTCCTACTTATGTTAAATATACGCTTCCTCCTTGTTTGGCCCTTCTCCAAAACCTCATCGTTGCTCACATGTTCGGTCCATGATATCCTTAGAATCCTTCTGCAGAACTATACCTCCGTTGCCTCGAGTCTCTTCTCCATCTTTGAGGAGACCGTCCAGCATTCGCTGCCGTAAAGGAGGACAGATATCACGTAGCAGTTCAGAACTCAAGATTACTTGGTGTAAAAGAAAGAGAAATCCAAGGTAAACAAAAAATGTCCTTTATTTGTTAGGAAAAAAATAAACGGTATATAGCAAATTTGGCTTACAGTTAGTGCTTAAAGTAATCTCCATATGCATCCAGAACGATTTTGGAAACTGCCTCCAGATGTGCAATGCCCTGGCGGTAAAAATTGAGAGTTTTAGACGCAGAGAAATCTGTGAATGCCTGCCACAAGGATGTCTTATTTGAGTAGGATTTCTCACGAAGGTGATTGTTCAGGGATTGGAAGAGGTGCTAATCTGTTGGCGTAAGTTCCGGGGAGTGAGGTGTATGGCATAATGTCTCCCAGCCAAATCGCTGTATGGTATCCCTGGCCACCTGAGACCTGGCATTAGTCATAGAGGAAGTGTAAACCCTTGCGATTAACCAATGCTGACATTTGCTTCCGCTTTTGTGCCTGTTGCACATGTTCTAAATGCTGTAAGTACACTCCAGCCTTGATGGTTTGGCCCGTTGGTAGCAGTTCATAGAGAACCATTTGTCGACTAGTCTGATAGATAAAGAGCATGATCATGTATAGCTGTAGATATGTTCTTGTGGTCTAAGGTACAGGGTCCCGTGGTGACAAACAATATCAGACACGCTTGGGATTGTCACTGGTGAGAACTCGATAAAATATGAATACGTTGCGGGGTCGAGAAAGCAACGAGAAACAGGCTGGTTGCTGCTTGTTGGCTTCCGATAGTGTATGGGGTACCCACTTACTCAACTTGTACGCCTTCTTCATACTGTGCAGGTGAAATCTGAATGTTTTATCAGAAACCTGGAAGCGTTCGACAAGCTCACCACAAGTCTAGCTGTTGTTCAACCTCTATAGCCGCCTTCAGGGTCTCATCATACAGGACCGGTGGTCGGCCACTGCGGGGTTCATCTCACGACTTGGACTTCTAGAACCAATGTCTGGCAGTGCATTCACTCACAGCGTTATCCCCAAAGGCTTGACGTATTCAAATTTGATTTGATGCGGCTACGGACAAGCCCACCTTAAAGAAGACAAGCCTGAACGATCTGCTTCGATACCGCCATGTTTCTTTGCCGCGTCTCGGGCTATGACTGATGTGTGTACGCCACGCACCTGAATTGGTCGAGATCAATGTCCTCGCCCCCACCGCAAATTATAAGGAAGACTGGGCTTTTCAGCCTCAGATCCGTCTAACGTTGAATTGAAAACAGGTTGAGCATTGGGCTAGCCAGAGCTGTTACAAGTTTCTCGTACTCACCTCCCGAATCTATGCCACACCCCGAATCTATTCTACAGCTTCCCCTCTCGACTACATCTCAGTTTTCATAAAATAGTATTCCTATAAAATACAAATTTTCATGAGGTACTATTCCTATAAAATTCAAATGTTATTCTAACCAAATTATGTACAAGAATGGATCATATGCAATATAGGTGGACAATTCAACTAGAAAAATTGAAAATAAATCCAATGTATCTAAATACAAATTAGAGACCTGTCATAATAGATTATTCCATCTTAATTAAATCAACACTGTTTCGCAGCAATTTTTAACATCAACTTGGGATTTTTCTTGTTAAAACGTTCGAAGATTTTAGCATATTCAACATTATGGATAAAAAATAGTGAATTTTATATGGTGTTTTTTCAAGACTTAGCACAAGCAAAATGAATTTGGATGAAAAAATACCCGAGAATGACGTCAAAATCCACAGAAATTTTTCATCCTTTAATAGTCAATTGTGCTTAGTTTAATTTGTAACGTAACTAAATGAAGTTAGAAAAAAAGAAATGTTGATAAGATAGTGAATATAAACTATTAATAAAAATACAGTAAAAAAATGTAAGTTAATCTCAGTAAGTAAACGAACCTCTTATTCCCTAGGTTTACTACATCTCAATTGGTATTCATATAAAATACAAATCTTATTGTAACCTAATTATCACCAATAATTGATCATATGCAATATAGGTGAGCAGTTCAACTAGGAAAATTGAAAGTAAATCCAATGTATATAAATACAAATTAGAGACACGTTATAATAGATCATTCCATCTTAATTAATTCAACAATGTTTTGCAGCAATTTTTATCATCAACTTGGGATTTTTCTAGTTATAAAGTTGAAGAATTTTAATACATTCAACATTATAGGTAAAACAGTTCTCATGACTTAGCATTAGCAAAACAAATTAACGAATTTGAACCCCCCCGCTAGAATGACGTCAAAAGCCGCAAAATGTTTTCATTCTTTAATAGTCAGTTGTGCTTCGTTTAATTTGTAACGTATATAAATGTAAATAAAGAAAGCAAATGTTGATAAGATAAGGAGGTTCACAAAGCACTGCCCGGGTCCCCTAATCAGACATGCCCCACCCTAGGGGTAGTCTAGCAATTCCATCCCGTGAAACAAGTACTTGTTATGGAAACCTCAGCATTAAATAACATTTTATTGGCCATGGACACTGTACTCGACAGTTGGGATGTACAGAACTTGAAAATGACTTTAGTCTGGCACAAGGCCAAAATAGTTGAGCACCAGGTGAGACTCAAACTTACTGTCGTTGTGATGTTTTGAGTTGGTTTGTTCAAGTTGAGATACTAGCAAAACTTAATAAGTGTTTAAAAAAATTTATTCTGAGATGTTCATTTTGTTTTTTTAAATTGTTAAAGTAATTTTTCGATATTTTGGTTTTTCATTTTTTTTTTTAAATAGGGATCCTTCCCTGCCCGATTTAAAGGTGTCCATTTTGTGCATCAACCTTGGTACTTTAGCTGGACATACGCGATGGTGAAACCATTCCTTAAAAGAAAACTCACGAAAAAGGTCAGTTCATGTTGAAATTAATTTTTGTCAAAGATCGTCTGTTTATTTATTTTTAATTTTTGTTTTTGGTAGGAGTTCAAAATAGCATCATTAAAAAATGTTTTTTTCTTACTTGTTCTTAATGGGATACCAAGATGACCTCCAAGGATATTGTCGTATCCTGTCGTCACTCCCACATCTTTTAAAACGACTGGAAGAAATAGCTTAACCAGCGTTGTTGTAAAACTGATTCAGAATATAAAAAGGCCTCAAAACTCGTAAAAATTGGTCGCTCCGCTCAAAGTGTAGTATCTGTTCTGTGGACATCTCTATCTATAAAAGGTAGAATGTGTGTGTGTGTAACAAATGCACGGCCGCAATTTTCGACGGATTTGCACCAAGATTTACATGCACATGCTCCAAGTTAGCGGGAAGGCCAACACCGAATTTGCATTTCCCAACTCCCATCGATAGTGATAATAATCGATTTTTCCATGCTTCTACGGCAGTTTTCATGTAGTTTGCGGCCATTTTCTACTAGCCAGAGTGAGAGCCAATAGCTGGCTGCCACGAATAGGTAGGAAGATTCTATTGGCCAGCGTGAGAGCCAACAGCTGACTGACACGAATGTTAACTAGCCTGCACAAAAAATCGATAGCTGCATTCGTCACAAGTGGGAAAAATTGAAAACTGCATGGCACTTTACTCCAATTGGCTCATTCGCTTGCTTAAACTCAACGTTGATTCTGATTCCGCAGAATTGGATTGGGTGTGAAAAAGTATTTGTTGTTAACATTCGGTTTTTCCAGTTACGAGTCCTTTTTTAAAGCTGATCGTTTTGTGTTCATTTTGTTTAGTTCTTTTTCGTAACTGATTTAATGTTTAGTATAGAGCTTAGAAATTATTAGCAGTGTGAGATAGGCAAGAAGTAAGGCATGTAGCAACATCAGCACGAAAAATATATTTAAAAAAAATATATTTTAAGTCAAGTGATAGCGATTCCTGTATGAGTCGTACGATTTTTGAATCAAGCACGGGCAACGCCGGGCCATGCTGCTAGTAGTGAATAAATCGCTCTATTGGAGTGGTTTGTAACGCATCTATTTATCATCTCTCAGTTGCGTCTCTGTCTTTGGGCAGAGTGCTCTCAGGGGCGACTCCGTCAAAGGGCAGAGTCATAACTGAGAAAAATTATACCGAGAGGTGCCCAACCTTAAAAAAGACCTTGTGTCACAACTCGTCTTAGTGGGGAGACAGAGTAAATACCTAATATCTGTTCTGCGGGCATAACCAGCTAAAACAAGCTTTGTGCCCCATAATGCGTAAGCGGGGACAGGGGAAATTTTGACCATTTTTTTTTTTGCCATTGGCCCGAGTGTACGCAAGCCAGCATTCACCGGAATACCTTCAACTCCCAGCACCCATATTGTGAAAAGAAAGGGATCATCTTCTGCTTAGAACATCGAGTAAATGTCATAAGTGGTGACCCAGAGACATATGAACAAGAAATGTTCAGTATAAGCAGTCTCCTACAACATAACAACTACTCTGGGTATGTGGCAGCAGATCCGACAAACTGGAATAAAAGGGTAAAAAAGGATAACAACATTCAGAAAACTGCTTCGGTCTGCCTACCCTATGTGAAGGGTTTATCGGAAAAATACAAAAGATCTTGGTCTATATAACATCAAGACGACCTTCCAAAGTGGTTCAACATTTTGCAGACACCTCTTCCGATTAAGACCCTCCATAGAGGAGAACATGACTAAGGACTGTATGTACGCCATCCCGTGCAGCTGTGGTAAGAAATATAAATGCGAAACAGGCTGTCCCTTTAAAATAAGACTGCAAGAACATCGTAAAGCCGTAATACGAGGGGAAATAGAAAAATCAGGCGTTGCTGACCACATATGGAGGGAAAAGAGAGATCACCGATCCCTGTGAGATGAAGTTGAAATAATAGCCAGAGAACATCACTGGAAAATACGAAAACTTAAGGGACCAGCACATATGCTCAGCCGCCCAAACATAGAAATGAAAACAATATGGGAACCAATAATTCGGAGTGAGAGGTAAAAAACAAAAGTTGCAATATGAGCTCTGGTAAAAAATGGAGACTGAGACACTGTGTTTATAAGTCTCAGTAGATAAAAACGCTGGCTACTGTAGTAGTGAAAAAAAAAACTTTGCGAGTTGAGTTAAAATAACTGAGAGGCGAGGAAATAGAACAATCTACCCCGGTGAATGAAACCTGAAAAAGGCCGGAGCGTCATGAATATGGCAACAAAGATGACAACAGTCTGAACAATGTAAATAGTGTAAATGACATTGACTTGTATAATAAAACCTGTAGTAATGCAGCAATAATGTAGTAAAATGTAGTAATTCTAGAAGGGATCAGTTTATTACTTCATAACAATAGAATCCCTCACAGCAGATCCTCCAATTTATGTCCAGTAGAAACATAAATGTACAATGAAATTTTTCCCGTTCTGGATATCACGATAAACTACGTCCAAAAAGTAAGACCTCTGATCAGGTTTTGAGGGGCGTGGAACCATCTCTTAATAGCTGGTGTTTCCAGGTCCAAAAGGGGTGGTAGCACCTGTTAGGGTCCCAGCTATCGGCAAATAGTTAACCCCCAAACCAAACTGGGGCCAAAGTGTAAAAATAGGTTTTAATACCAGAAATACTTTGTAAAATAAATTATTACCAGCAATACATTTTTGAAAAAAAATGTTACTGGCTATACATTTTTTGAAAAAAAAAAAGAAAAAATATTACCAGCAATACATATTTGAGAAAAAATATTACCAGAAATAGATTTTTGATTGAGGCTGATATGCCGTAAAAAATATATATACCAAACCAAAACTGAAATCTTTCCAACCTTGCTTGATTAATATCAATGTTCTTGTAAAAGACATTGACTAGTATAATAAATTCCGACAGGGGGACCAGTTTATTACTTGATAACAATATAAAACTGATCCCTCACTTTATGCCCAGTAGAAACTTATATTAGTATTTAATGTAAATATATCTTAAGAATACAAATTATAATCACAACATATCAATCATCAGTGTAATAAGATTTTGGAAACATTTACCTTTCAAAAATTAAATCTGACCGTGCAGTAATTCTAGGAGGGATCAGTTTATTACTTGGCAACAAAAGAAAACTGATCCCCATTTTATGTTCTATAGAAACTTATACAGTCTGACCTCTTTAATCCGGCACTACATGGTCCGACACTTTTTAACCATTAGTCCGTTGGCATGCTATGCGAGCAGCCTCACACATTGTTCACAACTTTCTGCAGCAGCCGACAGCATCAGAGTGATTTGGTGATACGATCTTACTCATGTCTCATATATATAGCTGTATATTGACCCATTCAAGATAGTAATTATATATTGAAACAATAAAAACCTAGTTTGGAAGCATTGATGATTGTTTTTTCTCATTTCAAACTTTGTTCTACCTTTGATAATACAGCAATATATATACAGAGTGTCTATAAAGTTCGTGTGCACTTTAAGAAATTATAACTTTATCTGTATTTGCGATAGAAATAATCTGTAAAAATGTTATAAAATTTAATGTACCTAGTTTTAAGTATAGCTAAAATAACTAATGTGATTTCAGGCATTACTGTAAATCAGTTGGCAAATGTTTTCCGTGAACTGCAAAATCGTATTACCCTTTGTATTGCTAATGATGGAGGACATGTGGAAACTTGAATAAAATTTCAAGAAAACCTTAAAAGATATAGATTTACTTCTTTCTAATCCTTTTTACAAATTATTTCTATCGCAAAAACAAATAAAGTTATAAATTTTTTAAAGTGCACACGAATTTTATGGACACCCTGTATATGGAATGAACTGGCAAGACTGTTTATATAGGGGGGTTTTGGGGTGAATTCTGTCATCCGACATTTTCTGTGGTTCTGTCGGGTTTAGCTCCTCCTTAATACTCAAATTCTTCACCAGGGGTCTCTTTCCCTATACTATAAATACTGGGAAACTTCTTGTCTCTTTCTCTTCTGTCTTCATTTCAGCGAACACCGCTACTATGTGAGCTCTCACAAAAGAGAGCGTTTCCCATTTCTGGGAAGACGTTATGAACATTACAAACATACACGTACGTACGGACATTCACCAAAATACGAACATTCACTAAAGAACAAACAAAAATGTCCACACAGAAACACAATGTTAACTGTCTATGTTCATTGTAAAATTGTTTTGTTTAATACATATATTTGTTTATATATTCATGAATTATTCACGCAAAAATAAATGCAAAGGTTAATGATTTAATTGGCGAGAAATCCATCATCGCAAACAATTCAAATAATATACAAAAACCTCCGAATCCGTTATGAATGAAATGATCCTTGTTTCCATAAATTTCTGCCGTATTAGTTCTTATTTTTACTACAAGCTTTCGTCTGTTCCTACAAACATCTTCAGGTATAGAATAGATGTTGTTCTTGTTTTTTTCTCTTAGTAATAAGAGGACAACGAAAATATATGTATTGTTGTATCCGAAAATGCTATTGAAAATGAGTTATTGGTTTTGGAACGCGCAGTAGCAACGCTGAGTTTGATTTTAAATTTTTAAAATTGTGCGTTCATATAAAATATGGTGATGAACGAATTTTTTTACTGGTAAATTTTTTGTCAAAGTGGCATGAACTATATTGTTCAATAATTACAGTAATGTCGCATTTATTATCCAAAAAGTCGCACTTGGATCAGTTATTTTTAATTACGATAAACGTGCAATCAATTTTACAAATTCATGAATTATTCACACAAAAACAAATGCAATATATATATATATATATATATATATATATATATATATATCATCCATCTTGTTTGTTTGTCTTTATTTTCAGTTGGACTTAACTTTATTCTGGCAATTTTTTTGTAGTTGGACCTTTTAATATTCTACCAGGAGTTACACACGTGTTTCTAATACAACACGTAAATGCACACACGGTACTCTACAGTCCGATAGTGGCTTGGTTCAAAGGATGCCGGATTAAAAAGGCCGGGGCTGTATTAAAATTTAATATCAATATATCTTGGAAGCTTTCCCAACAATAATGCCAATATTATCATTGACTTACACTGGCGAAAATAAGTTTAAGGCCGATGGTTAAAGTTTTTATTCATTTCAGAATATATTTCTAATAAAACAATAGAAATTAGTTTTATTATGTACGCTTTATACAGAATTTATATCTCTTTCGTAAGGTCTTAAACTTATTCTGGCGACAAATTTGGATAATTTAAATTAATCCAACATTAAAATTTTTCAAGTTGTAGAAAAATATACAATTTTTACATCATTCGAAAGAGAAATAAATCCTGCATAAAGCGTATATAATAAAACTTGTGGCGGACTTGACCACATTAATTTAACTTTAGATTAGGAAACATGGCTGACGCAGAAAAGGATAACCAAAAGACATTGTTACACATAAAATATGTATTTAACAAGATGTACAATATCAAACAATGATGTGAAAGAAAACATGCATTTAAATAAGAAAAGGTTGAATAAAACAAGTGTTGTCTTTCTTTAACTGTTATTTTAGTGTTCCACATTCACTGGAAGAATGTTCACGAGAGTTTCTTGTAATGTTTGTTCTTGAAAGATTTGCTGTGTTAGAAAAGATTATGTGAGTGCATATACAAGGTATGTTCAGCATGTGAGTGGTGTGTGTGAGTGTGAAAGTTGGCGCATGGTTTCAACTGTCGTGGATTAGTTTCGCAGCTGAATTCTCACTAAAAATGGTTAGAAAATTCTTGCTTAAATAAGTGACTATAGGCTCCAGATTGCTGTATGGGAAGAATTACTCTTCACGTGCAGACAATCTGATTGGTTGGCATCGACCAATCAGCGAGTGACCTTTTTTTATTTAAGAAAGCTTCTGGGATCCGTTTCTCCCAAAAGTTTTTTTAAATTGACTACATGAAAATAGAGTGATTACAAAATTGTCGCATTACTGCGATTTGTAAATTGTCTATAATAACGTAGCGGTGATTAATTAACCAATGAATGCTTGGCGTTGTATGTGATTCGTATTTTTGTATGTATGTATGTTTGTGCATGATAGACTCATACAAACTAATTTATATTGTTTTAATAGGAACATATTTTGAAATGAATAAACTTTAACCATCGCTCTTGAACTTATTTTCGCCAGTGTATATTTATTAACTCTGCTATATTCATTTAAAGAAAAACTCATTCTAGGAAAATATAATCTGAGTGGATCGTGCGTACTTCAAGGGTAACCCTACTAGTTTGTACCTCTCTTTGAAAGGGCTTTAATTGCTTGATGATGTTCATAAAGGAAACGTTTTGTATCTCTATATTTTTGAGATGAGGTATTATGTACATTATTTACATTATTCCGACTATTGTCCCCATCAATAACGTTACAGCTCTTCATTATTTCTGAGATAAGGTATTATGTACATTATCGTTATTTATTACAACGTTCCGCCCCTTCAGTATCTGTATATATTGTCAATCTGAGATGATGTATTATTTACACTATTTATTTATTCGGATATTGTCCTTTTTTTTATCATATAGTTATCACAACGTTCATTTTTTTTAATCTGTCTATATTTTTCGAGATGAAATTATTATGAATTGGATTATTTACATTATTCGGACTATTGTCCATATTTTTGTCCGAATAATGTAAAATGTATATTGTCGAATAAACCTCAGAAATAAAAACAGATACTGAAAGTTTCATTTTAATTTTAAATAAATATATAAAATTTCTAAGGACAATAGTCCGAATAATGTTTTCTTCAAAACGTTTTTTTTGATAAAGTAACACTAATTTTGATCTAGTCACTTTTTGCTTACTACGACTCTTTCCATAGTAAATTAATTGTATAACAATGTTCAGTTATTACACTATATAATGCATTAATGACCAGCCATGTGACCATCGATTTAGCAAATAATTTGCATAATACCCATGCGGTCTTAATCTTATTTTGCTGGCAAATTTGGATAATTTAGATTAATCCAGCATTAAATTTTTTCATGTAGAAAAATACACAATTGTTTACAAACTTTACATCATTCGAAAGAGAAATAAATTATGCATAAATCGTACACAATAAAACTAATTTCTATTGTTTTATTAGAAAAATATTCTGAAATGAATAAAAACTTTAACAATCTATCTTAAACTTATTTTCGCCAGTATATATAAGAAAATATGACTTTGTGCATCAAATACCGTATCTGATACATTTTTTTAACTGGTTAGTGAAGTATTGGTTTTAATGTTACGACTGGCTTACTTTTTAAACATCTTCAGGGAAGTTTTTTTTTTTTTTTTATTTAAATATAATAATTCTGTTTTTAAGACAATATTTTTTACAAAAACTTACATTTCTTCAAAGTTTTCTTTATTTTAACTCTGATTTTGTGCTTCCATACGTTTTGTCTGAAATTAGAAATGATCATTATTATACACTGATCATTATTTATTGATTTTTTCACTCCCCCCCAAGAAAGGCGATAATGCCACTAAGACGCAAGAGTATACTGGGAGTGAAAGAGAATGAAAAGAATTTAGAAGGAACCTGAAACCCAATCCTAAACAGGAAACAAGGGATAAACCTCTACTCCTGTTCAAAAGACCGAGGAGGAGTGGGTATTATACATTGGTCATTATTATATACTGATAACTATTATAACGAAAGAATGTTTCATTTAATTCTAATTTACTTTTATTTCCACAGGTATTTATACATGGATATAATCTGGAGAATTTCTGGGAAAATTTTGATATGGAATCGATCCCCAAAGAATTGGGAGGCAGTGGAGCATCGTACGATTCTCAAGAACTAATAAAAGCCTTGGAAAGACTTGAAAAGCAAGAAAATTCATGAATCTGAACTGACAACTGCCATTTTGTTTTATAAAGAGTAACAGGAGCGTGTTGTTATATATGTTTCGATTTTGGTGATTCTATTTTTTTAAAATATTTTCTTTTCTTTACTAATTAGATTTTGACATTAAAATAACGAATTCGTGTCCACTTTAGAGCGTGATGGGGGAAAAAAATTTTGTCGATGAAATCAAATTTAAAGAACGATTATTTTAAAAAACTTTATTTCATAAATGGTAAAAAAATAAAGAAACGTTTATTGTAAATGCGATTAAAACGGACATATTATATAACAGCAGAAAACATAATTAATAAAAAAAGTTTTTCTTTACCGTAAAGATATGGAAAAGAAAGTAAATGTTTTTCAAAAAGACAATATGCACCTCAATTAAGATCAACAACACCATAGATCGGATAGGAAAATCTGACAAAATAGCAGAGTTTTTTTTTTTTTTTGTGACGCATTTTGTCAATTATGACTTCGTTAGACTAAAGTGTTGTTTACTTTGATGTGATTACACATATGTATGAAGAAGGGACGCTTAAAATTAAAATTTAAAAACATTTTAATATGTTTTAGGAATATAGTCTAGTGTTATACCGGAACACACCTATTCTATTGTTAATAGACTCTCCCACATATAATAAGTAGTAGTAGTAGCAGTCGCCAGGGCTCAGAGTGAGTTGGTGAGTCAGTTGATGTCGGACATTAAAGTATCAACCACCCCAACTAGATTGCTGCGTCATTAACTATTATTTCAAGTTCCTAACGTTTTGTACGTCGAACCTAATTTAGGACCGACTTAGTGAAATACAACTATAAACTACTCTACAACATCTAGCTAATTTCATTTAGTTTTTTTTTTTAATTTATTTTTTATCAGTTTTGTCGTTAAATATGCCTCATTGTGATAATAGACAATCTGCCAAGAAGAGTGAAATATTGTAAGAACCTGGGCATAAATTTACTGTAGGTGATTTAGTAATTAAAGAACTTTCTATACATTTTTGTCTTAGTAAATTGTTTTCTCTTTTAGTTAAAGCATTTTAAATCAGAATTATGGTGAGCAACTAATGCATTCAGTATGTTGTTTTGTAAAAGATTCCTTTTATGTTCATATAATCTTTTATTTAAATTCCTTGAGGTTTCTCCTATATATTCCTTGTGACAATCATTACAGATGATAGATTAAATTCCTCCTTCAACTTTTAGCTAATTATATTTTTTAATTCTTTTACTGTTTTAGTTGTAATAATAAATATATAAATATAAAAGGTAAAAAATACTTAAACCTAACAGTCAGTCTTTATGCTTATAGAGGGATAGCTGGATGGTCTTAATATAAATTAACTCTAAAATCTTAAGATGAAAATCAGAGTTAGCCTTCCTGGAACGTATCTTGGTTATAGGACTTGGCATATTGATAGTTGTTTAATGAAAATAATTTGTTTTTTTTCTGATATTTTAATTTTGTCCTTTTGAACCGCAGTTATTAAATTATGAATTCCCCCCCTCTAAAATATTTAACCTCCTTTAATATGTATTTCTCTAAAATGTGTGCCCTTTTAAAACGTTTAAAAGTTATTATTAAATAATTTAGAATTTTAGAAAAAACCTACTATATTTAACAGTACGGAGAATAATCATAACTACAAATAACTTGCTTCAAAATTCAAAGACATTATTTTGTGTAAACAATATTTAGCCTTTATTGTCATTGTACTTCTTGGGGCCCCGGTGCATTTCAATGAAAATATTCTTTTAAAAAAGGACAGCCCACTGTTTATGATTTGTTTTGAAAGAAAATACTTCTTAAAGAAAATATCTTCGTTTTCTCCACTCTCCAAGACCCATATGAAGCATTAATGTATCCGTGACATAACATCTTAACATAACGGAAGATTGCACTAGAATAACTCAAATAAATTTTCTCTAAAAATAAATTGTGCCTGAAAAGATTTTATATACAGCACTAGAATGTACAAATATATTATGAAAATTTGACAATCTTGGCCCTTCGTACTTGCAAAAAAATCGGAGTATCAAAAGAACGGTTTTCCCTTAACATATATTTATCATAATTTGTCCCACAAAGAGAAATTACATTAAATATGAATAAAATAAGCAGTATGTGATAGACAAATATGGAAGGTCTTACTTGTAATATTTCTCGGAGAAACACGGCTAGCATGAGTGATATCTTTTATGCTCCTTATTTAGGTCGTATGGCTCTGCCGTTTCTTTTAACTGCCGCTAGCTATGACTATCTATCTTATTCGCGGTCTATACAACAACTATCAATCGTCATCCTAAGGCTGTCGCCACTCATATGGTTTCGCGTGAGCCTCATGACGTTAGTAAATTCAGTATCTGTTTATCATTTCTGAGATGAGAAAAATATTTATTTTTTTATTCGGACTATTTTTCATCTTTGTATTTAATTTATTACAACGTTTTTTTTGTTTTACGCTCCGGCCTTCTTCATTTGGTTGGAATGTCGAACTGTTTATGATATTTTTAATACTTTTCTAAAATTTATTCCAAATGCCAATGTTTTAATGGATTTCTAGTTATTTTTAAATAACGATTCCCCACTTCAAAACTTTGCCTTAAAACTTATTTTTTCACAGGGATGGTTGGGTCCTGTCACTGGGTTTAACTAACGCTTTTATCCACTGTGCCATGTGCCCTGTTTAGAATTCGCCACAGGTGAAGGACCTTTTCAAGTGAGTTCAATACCTGTTTAAGGCAGTGGAGAAAAAAAAGAGGGGAATTAACATGAGATAGGAATCTAATAACTGACGTCCATTAGACATGTCAAAACCCTCTTGGAACTAGAAAATGGTCCATTAGTGAGCGAAATCCAAAAGGGTTCAGTTCAATATCTAAAAAATGAAGAAGACTAGTTTACAACGGCCGAAACGTTGTAATAAATATGGCGACAAAAATGAGGACATTAGTCCGAATAATGTAAATAATGTTAGTAAATTCACCCTGTAGAAAGGGAGATAATATCCTTCTATAGAGAGAGAAGAAAGACAAAATGGTTCTGCTGATTAAACCAAATTTGAAAAATGACTTTTAACTGTTAGATTATAAACGAGAAAAAAGTCTCTTCTGAAATAAATACCTATATTTTGTTCCAATATGTTCTGGTTTTTATTTCTTTTTTTTTCTTTTCTTTCTTTTTTTGACGTTGTTTCAACGGGTCTTTTGTTTTCAGGCGACAAAAGAAGCAACTTTCCTTCTGATTTCAGAAATGACACTCTTTAAAATATAGCTTAAAACATCGGAGACATATTGAAATTATTTATCGAAAGAAAAGGGTGGTATACCTTTACAGCAGCCATTTCTTGATCAAATTTTCAAAATATATAAACCATAAAACCGTGGTTCGTATTTCTGTTTCCAGTTACATGCAAAGAAGGATAAATATGGCGGAAGGTACTTAGAATTAAGTAAACTGTATTAAGGTTACAGGAAAGTTAATAGTTAAAATCATCGCTAAACTAAACGCTAAGGTCGTTGCATTCTACACCCGAACCCCCCGACCGGTTTCGTGGCAAACCTGATGAGGGGACCCGGGTAGATCTTTGTGATTCTTACTATCTTATCAACATTTCTTTTTTTTTTCTACCAACAAAGTAAACGAAGCACAAATGACTTTTAAAAAATATAAAAAATTCGAGGATTTTGTCGTCATTATGTGGTCTTTTTTTTTCTGTCCAAATCCGTGATTTTGTTTTTCGTCATGCTAAGTCTCGAAAAAACGCGATATAAAATTCATTATTTTCTTTATCCTTAATATTGAATATGTGAAAATTCTTCAACTTTATAAGAAAAAAGTCTCAAGTTGATATTAAAAATTGTCACAAGAAAACATTGTTGACTTATTTAAGATGAAATGAATTATTATGACGCGTCTCTAATTTATATTTAATTTAGTCTCACCCACTTAAGCTTCAACATGGAGCCAAAATTGTAATTATATTACAATAAATAGTCATTGTCTTTATGTCATGAGTAAGATCCCTGTAAATATGCGGTATTGTGGTATATGTTGGATTGAATGGTGATGGATGAGTTCTTGTGGTGATAGAGTAAATTGTAATGACTGAATGGGTCACGAATCAGATTAACTAGGTTTAGGATAGTCAGTGTTGACCAGCCTAACCGCACCCCCTCTTCGGCCTTGTGCCAAAATTGTAATTATATTACAATAAATAATTATTGTATTTATGTTCAATTTTTCTAGTTGAATTGTTCACCTATATTGCATAGGATCCATTAATTTACATAATTGGGTTACAATAAAATTTGCATTTTATATGAATATTACTTTATGAAAGTTGAGATGTATTAGAGTGGGGACGTATCATAGATTCGGAGTGGGAGGGGAGCTATCATAGATTCGTGGGGAGCACTAAATTCTTACACCGGCTCTGTGAGAGACCAATTTCTCAGAAAAATGATATATTATTTCATGAATGAAAACGTTTAGATTCTGACACAAGCACTAAAACTAAAAAAGAACAACAGTTTTTTTTTAAATATGTAGAACCTAAATATAGCTTGATAAAAAGATCCGGCCTTCTTCTGGTGGTTAGAATATCGAACTGAACTCTTTATATCGCTCGATGGGGTAGACTGTTCTAGTTCCTCGTATCATGTCTAAATGGATGTCAGTTATTCACCTCTCCAAGTTCTCCACTGTCTTGACCAGGTATTGAACTCACACTCTTTGGATCCTGTCACTGGATCTAACTAAAACCTTTATCCATTGTGCCATTTGTCCTTGAGAACATCTTTGTATGAATTTCTGGTACTTTTAAACCTGATGTCTTCACCAATCATTTTTGCCAATGCTTATATTACAATTTTTGCTGTTATCATTTCATATTATTTACCAGAGCTCATATTGCAATTTTCGTTGTTGTTGTTGTTGCTTTTCTGTGGCACTCCTTATTACTGGTTCCCATATTGTATTCATTTCTATGCTC